GGTTCAAACCTGCCACCCTCAGTATGTGGGGCTGACACCCTACTCACTGAGCCACAGACATCGCCCTTTATTTCTGATTTTGAACAAATCACCTCTTAACTCAAAAAGAAAAAGGGTAGGCTTGGTGCCCATAGCTCAGTGGTTAAGGTGCCGGCCACATATACCCAGGAAGGCAGGTTTGAACCTGGCCTGGGCCTGCTAAACCACAATGACAACTACAACAAAAAAATAGCAGGGCGTTGTGGCAGGTGCCTGTAGTCCCAGCTACTTGGAAGGTGGAGGCAAGAGAATCACTTAGGCCCAAGAGTTTGAGCTGTGACGTCACAGCACTCTACTGAGGGCAACATAGTGAGACTCTGTCTCAAAAAAAAAAAAAAGAAAGAAAGAAAAAGGATATATGAAAAGATTGGCTTAATATTTGTGTGACCCTTTAGTTCTGAAAGGGAAAAGAAAATTATAAAAATAAGTAAACCAAAGGATACCTGAATGTATAAAATATTTAAGTAGCTTAGCTTTTCTAATTATTCTTATGTCATTTTATGCAAATGTAATTCCCTTGAACAACAATGTTTTGGGGAGGGGACTTTTATAAAAGTTAAAGTAGGATTTTTGTTTTTTCTTATTTCATAAAGGTTGCTGTTGAAGAAATCTGGTTTTAGAACACCCCGGATTGAATTGGAAGAAATGGGACCTTCACTGGATCTAGTTTTGAGAAGGACACACCTAGCGTCAGATGACCTTTATAAATTATCTATGAAGATGCCAAAAGCTCTCAAGGTACATGACTGGAGGCTTAGTGCCATATGTATTTTCTTACTTCCACAAAGGACTTGTGGTGTATTATAGTAAAGGACGTATGTAAAGAGATCAACAGAGCAGATAAGACTAGCTTCTCAGAGCCAGGAAGAGGAGAAAAAAATCAAAGAAGGCAATTAGAAAGGTTAATGGAAAGGAATTACAGAAACCGGGCATCAGTTTGGCTTTCTGGTAGCCAGGACTGCCATTCTCTGGAAAAAAAAAGATTAGCATCACAAAGACTTAAGGATTTAGAGCACAGGATATATAAACCATGTGTGCATAAAATGTGTTCTAACTTAAAAAAATTTTTTTTTTCTTTTTTGAGACTGATCTCACTTGGTCACCCTAGGTAGAGTGCGATGGCATCTTAGCTCATAGCAATCTCAAACTCTTGGGTCAAGTGATCCTCTTGCCTTAGCCTCCCAACTACAGCCTGCCACAGTGCCCAGCTATTTTTTAGAGATGAGGTCTCGCTGTGGCTCAGGCTAGTCTGGAACCAGTGAGCTCAAGCAGTCCACCTGCCTTGACCTCCCAAGTGTTGAGATTATAGGCATGAGCCACCCACCTCACCCGGCCCTACTTTAAAAAAAAGTTTTAGAATGTCTACCACAGAAGAGATGACTTCTTAAGTAGTTTTAAAAAACAAGTAGAAATGTTATCTCTGGAATCCAGTAGAAATTGAGACGACAGTCACAATTCCTTAAGCTCAACACAGGAAATTCTCTTGTAGTATAGTTTATAATCTTGCTTCTCAAAATGTAGTCTCACAGTTTACCTGGGAATTGTTAGAAATGCAGATGTCAGCCCCACCCTAGCCCTAAATCAGAATTTGTATTTTGACAGGATCCCCAAGTTATTTGTATGTTCAGTTGAGAAGAGAGGTTTCATATAGAGTTATATGAAACCTCAGTCATATACCCATCAATCATTAGGGGATGCTCACTAATGGAAATAGTTATTAAGGTAGCAGATGACTCATGCCTGTAATCCTAGCACTCTGGGAGGCCGAGGTGGGTGGATTGCCTCACTTCAGGAGTTTGAGATCAGCTTGAGCAAGAGCAAGACCTCATCTCTCTACTAAAAATAGAAAAACTAGCTTGGGCATTGTGGCAGGTGCCTGTGGTCCCAGCTACTGGGGAGGCTGAGGCAAGAGGATTGCTTAAGCCCAAGAGGTTGAGGTTGCACAAGCTATGATGTTGTGGTACTCTACCAAGGACAACAGAGTGAGACTCTTGTCTCCACAAAAAAAAAAAAAAAAAAAAGAATAGCTGCAAACTAGAGTTTTACTGACTTATGATAGTAAAAAGTCATTAAATAGATATTTTATATATATATATATTCATTTTTTCCTAGCCAAAGAAGAAGAAAAATATCTCCCATGACACTTTTGGTACAACTTACGGAACGATTCATATGCAGAAGCAAGACCTAAGCAAACTACAAACCAGAAAAATGAAGGGGTTGAAGAAGCGACCTGCAGAAAGGATAACAGAAGATCAGGAGAAAAAATCAAAGAGAGTTAAAAAAAATTGATGGAGCTTAGCTAGCAACTACAGTTCTATTGTAGTCTGTTTATTTAAGAGAATTATCACACTTTAATCCATTCAGTTTCTTTTAAGATTGTATTGGTTTTTTTTAACATAATTTACTATGTATTATTACAGACTGTAATATATTAGTATTGAGTTTAGAGCCTCTTACTTGAGACATAACTCCCTGGTGTGCCATTTTCTCTTTGTGTTATGTCCTTACAACTCTGCTTTACAATTATTGATATTTTGGCTCGGCGCCTGTAGCTCAATGGGCTAAGGCGCC